AGTCGTTTCCGTTTCCACTAACTTAGCCAAGCGGCCCGGAAGCGTGGAAGATTGAAGACGCGCGCGGGTAGGAGCCAAAAAAGGGACCTTACGTATCTTCCGCGTTTTGTTTTTTCTTTTTTTCTCGCTTCCAAAAAGAAACGCAAAAGACTGCTACGCAGGCCAGCTCGTTGATTGTTGGATCCCTTGGTAACTAAGAAAACAAAACCAAAAACAAAAAGGCATTTTCTACAGTGTTCGTGAGACACTTGCCCGATAAAAATAGCTTCCGTTTTGCGTTGTAACGCGTTACTGCTCTCGTTTTCTGTTTTACTCCAGGTGTATTGTGATGGTTGGTCTTCCTTATCCTAACATTTACTCGCCAGAACTAAAGGAGAAAATGACCTACCTAGATGCTACTTTAGGGGTAAGAATGTATACTTATAGGTTTAAACCTTACGGGGTGCCGTGGGAAGGGAGGATGGCGGAGGGTTTTCTTTGCAAGGAAAATGACGTTCCTTGCAAAGAAACGCCTCCGCCATCCTCCATTAAGGTCAAATGTCCCAGGTATATTTTCAGCCATAGTTTTTGTGGTTTGCTAGTTTTCATTTTAGGTGAAACTTTGTGCAAATTTCATACACAACATTATATAGAATAGTTCGTCATATCTCAAATAAACCATTTCCTTTTCTCGTTTTGCGTTCTTTTAACTCAGAGCAAAAGTTATTTTTGTCAGTGGCCCCCAGATTTCCAAATTTTCCCGTTTTTATTTCAAGTTTTGCGTCGAGATTTTTTGAAGTATTCGAAGTAACCTTTTGTGCCCGTAGGATTGTGTGCAAATTCCCTTCGTTTGACCACTCGCTGTAATCTATTCTATATCATTCTATATCCAATAACTAATCTCGTCACAGTCCAATCACTTACAGTTTTTGTCTCAATTTTTTCCTCCTAGCGACCTCGTACAAGTCCGTTAAGGAAAAAAAATAAAGATGTAAAACTGAGAAGAACATTTTCTTTATTGGAGACATCATTGTTTACAAAAATAGCTTTTTGTTATTCAAATTTATAAACCAGTAAAACAAATGAATATTTTGTTACAAGAATATTGCGCTTCTGGTTGACAGTTAGGTGCCATGAATCGAAATCAAAATTCAAATAAGTTGAACAAGGGAAGTTGTTTCTATTTGAAAGGCGAGAAAAACAAAAACAAAAAGCAGTTTATTTAATAACATATTTTCTTCGTTTGGTTCTTATCGTTATTTTCTTTCTTTCAGCCAAAAGCTGGTCAAACGCATTACGAAAATCTTTGCATGAAAGCTGTAAATCAGTCAATAGGTAAGCACCGTTGGTTTTGTTTTAACAAAAGAAAATTTGAGACCTCCTTTTTCCATTGGCAGACACACTATCCTGTGGTTGACATTTTAGCGCTAATTTCGTAGAGTACACAACGAATCTAAAAAGTGACTTCTTGAACGCAGTACATGCACATTTTCTGATGTGTTTTTAGATCTAGGTTTTACCAGGCTAAGTAACATTTAAGATTACAAAAGTCTTTAATAGACGGTTGCTAAGACGTCGGCTTCGCACGGTCATTCAGAACCCTGTATAATATTCAAGAATAATATCTTCCAATCGCTCAAACCAATCAATTTTAAACCAATTAGTTCACTAGGTTTCTTCATTTTCTTCCGCTTTATGTCGGGTGTTGGTTGTCCCGGTTGCTTTTTTTCCGCGCTTTTCTCGGTTGCCTTCCTGCCAAACTCTGCACAAGCCACAAATCAGTTGCCTATTTGCTCGCATTTCAGAGGGAATGCTTGTTTGCCCGCAGTTGACCAGTTTCGTTGCACCTTTTTGCTTATTTGAACGCAATTGATAAATGTCCTTTGATTATTTTGAACATCGCAACATTTATCGTGTGCTCCACGATCTGAAGTCTCAAAAAAGTTGTCGTAACGGCTCAGTCAATTCCATGCGTGCCTATCCCTTACGCGCATTTGTAATTTTTTTTTTTTCAGTTTTCTGAAAAATAGCCCCACTGTACTGATATTGCTTTTCGCTTTTCAGGTCGTGCTATCCGTCACAGGGGGGATTTTGCAACAATTTTGTTGTTAGATAAGCGCTACGGATCCGCCAAAATAAAGAAAAGCTTACCAGGGTGGATCTCAGATAGACTTCAACATCACGCTAGATTCGGATCTGCATTTGCCACTATTCGCAAGGTAAACTTGCTGTAATTATGTGGGGTGTGGAATAAAGAAAACCTCTCCAAGGTGCTTTTAAACAGACTTAAAGTCTAATTTTATTCGCCTCTGTGATCTGTGCGGTGTATTCGCAAGAAGCATACAGTTGAGTACTGTCAGCTGTATGCTACAACTTTTGAATCAGTGTAGAGTGGAAAGCTTTGTGCTTGCGTCAGGGTAACGCTATGATGTGGACTTAACTGATGTTTGAAAAAGAGACCAGGGGACCCGTTTCTCGAACGTCCCGGTAACTCTTCGGGCCCGAAAAGCTGTTTATGTTTGCCGCGTTTGCATTCAAGATCAAAGTTTCAATAATTGTGAAAATGATACAATAAAACTATCAGTTAACGAAGAAAAATTGACTGGTTTGTGCGCCAGGAACTGTGCTACTATTCAACAGGTTTTGATTTTAAAATTTGCCTTCGGGCCCGAAAAGCTACCGGGTTTTTCGAGAAACGGGCCCAAGCAAGACTGTTACTAATACTCCTGCTGAATGTTATTTGAACTTTTGTAGATCATACGTATTAGGTATACCTACAGCATTTTCGTTTTTCACTTTTGCTCATATAATTACTACTTGATGTTTGTTTGGTTTTGTTTCAGTTTTTCGTGGACAAGAGAATGTCAAGGGCACTCCCAGAAAACACAGTCTTGCATTCCTAAACGTTGGTGTTTTTAAAAATAAGGTTATGCTTGTAACTATTGATGTTCTGTGATATGATGAGACAGAAGACAAAATTCCTTGAAAAGTTTAGATCTATTTATATATATACAGAATTTTTGAAAAATGTATTTTCAATATGTAACAGAGGCCTGTAAGTATTGTACTTGGACAATAAATAAAGCCATGATTGAGCCTTGTTTATTGAGTTTGTAACTGATGCATAACGACCTTAATCGAGTGATTTTACTGAAGCCTTGTATCTAATACAGCGCCGTAATACACTGAGGGGGCTACAGAAAGTGTCCGTATTAAAAGGGATGAATTTATAGAAAATGTAAGGGCTTTCCTTGCCCAGGAACAAAGCAAACTGTCCGTAATGATGAGGTGTCCGTAAATCGGGGTTTTTGTAGTGAAATTAGAGTGTAGGCTATGGCCTAGCGGTTTGGGGCCAAGCTGCTCAATGTAATCTTAATAAGATCTTGATACTACAAAAGCGTGCGCTTCGCCTAATCAATTTTGCACCATTCAAATCCCGTGCTGTCCCTTTATTTGACTTCTATAATGTTCTTCCGCTGACAGAGTTTTCTCTACATTAAATTCATTTGTATCATAATGCATGACGTATTGATAACAAAGCACCCGATAATATCTCCAATTTATTTACTCTCGCCTCTGACGCACATCATTGTAACACTAGATTTCCTCAGGCTGGCACCTTCGCCATACAAAATTCGAGAACACAGCAGAGGATTAAGTCGTTTTCTTGCTCTGGTGCTAAGGCGTAGAATTGTATTCGTCTTGACATTCGTTCAAAACAAATTTAAGGCGGCAATTCATCGACAACTTTTAGATATTCTATTATTTGAGGATGATTATGTTGACACGCTTACCATTACCTCTAGATTTAAACAGCTTTGAAGTCTGCGATATTTCTCATTTCGTTTAATCAGGAGCTTATCAAATCCTGGTTTAATATAAAGTTATAATTTTTTGTTACCTTTTTTTTTCTTTTCCAACCCTCTGTTAATTTTAGTATATACTATATGTAAATAATATAAATTAATATTTTATCTGTGCCTGACCCGCCTCGATTAATATTACGGCTACTTTGCTGGTCAGCACTATTGTACAAATATGTATGTGAAGCAAATAAAGGTTGTTGTTGTTGTTGTTGTTAGAGTAATGTTTAATACTACGTAGTGACCTGTAGTCGGCTATTTCAGGGATTCGGTCACCCAAAAACGTAGTAGAAAATCAGATTTTACAAAGGAGTCCGCCTTTGCCGTTGCTGTTTATTATGGCAGGCCTCCTGTTCTTTGTCCAGTGGTGAAAAATGTACACAGCAAAATGTTCGGGTATTTTTCTCTTGTAAAACCTTAAATAAATCGATTCTCATTCTGTACTAAGCTATAAAGCCTACGTGGATGGGGCTTGAAAGAGAACAAGCTATAAGGGAAAAATATACTCTCACGCCTGAGCAGTTCCCTCCTTCCACACCTCGTCAGTGCACCTGCTACGCATGCGCCGGCTCTTCTCAAGGAAGCGTTGGCAAAAGCTGCTTCTAAAGATGATAATTAACACGCATGGCGAAGGAGAAAAAAACCTTTACAAAAGCCGATTATGGCAAATTCAGCGCCGCATTTGCTGTTGCTGTTTTCTTGGAACAAAATCCTTTTAAACCCAAGGAATGCTCCCATCCTTAAAAGTTCTTAGAAACGATCTAAAAGCTCATCTGCCAACATCCGAAGCCTGAAAGTGACTTTCTGCTACTAGCTGTATTTTTTTTGTTCTGCTTCTTTTAATTTTATCTGTTTACCTATTTATTATAGGTATTATATATTTGCTTCTTTTGCCACGTAACTATAACCTCTAGTTTTTAATGTATGCTCGCCAAGTTATTTAATTATTGGTCAGAGGGTAAAACGATTAAAATTTTGGTTGGCTGTCCACAGAATGCAAATTGTTTAATAACGCTAGTGATACATTTCGTAATACCTATGAATGGCGTGAGTTTCCCCGGAATCACACGGAAGAAGAATAGGTGTCGCTAAATCTTAAACCACGAGTCTTGACGGAGAAACTGATTATGGATCCAAAATGAAAGAGTGTTTTCGTCTTAAATCACAACGTTTTGTGCGCAGTTTCTTTGTTTTTCGCAACTTGGTTTCGAATTCAGACAAGTCACTGCATGTTGATAAGAGGGTAAAGAAGGCCTTTGCATTGAAACCTAAATAACTTCCGCTCTTAGTCTAAGGTCAGACGGAAGAGCGATTTATGAAAAGCTGGTTGGCTGTCTGCAGTATAATGTAAACTGTAGTCCCGTATGTGGTTCAAGTTACCGGAGTCACAGTGAAGAAGAATAGGGCGTGTTTTGTCGTTTAGAGGCTTAAGAAGCTAATGATGGAGTCCCCGCTAAAAAACATCAAAGAACAGGTTACTTGTTCAATATGTCTGGATACTTTTACTGATCCCAAGACAATAACCTGCCTCCACACATTCTGCTTTGAGTGTTTGAAGAAACACGCACTGATCAGCCAAAGGGATGGAAAGTTTCGCTGCCCCGAGTGTCAAGCTGAAGTCGATCTTCCCGAAGCAAACCGTTTTGACAAACTTCCGACCAGTTTTCATCACAATAGTCTACTCAGTGTTCTCACCATACGACAGAGCGGCAAAGGAAATGACATCAGTTGCGGCATTTGCAAGAAAAAGAGTGCGGAGATAAGTTACTGCTTCGAATGCGCTAAATTCATGTGCAGTGACTGTGTAAACGCACATCAACTGTTTAGTCACTTTACAGAAGGACACAAAGTGACGCCAGTCAAACGTTTCCAAGCTGAAGACTACGATGCCCTGATGAAGAGGAAGTCACTGTGCTCCCAGCAGAATCATGAGCGAGAAGTTACGAGGTTTTTCTGCCACAAATGCAAACTTTGTGTTTGTCAAATTTGCATCACTACGGATCACAAGGCACACGAGGGTCATGATGTGGAACTCTTGGACAAAGTGGCAGACTGCGAGAAAACTAATATCCTGATGAGAACCGAGATATTAAAGGAGAAAACCAAAGTTGTCAGCGATGCAATTTGTAAATATGAACAAACAGTATCTGAGCTTGAAACAAATATCGCTAACGCTAAACGTGAAGTTTCCCAAACAGCCGAACAAATGATCGCCAAGATTCGAGAACACGAACGTCATATCATCACCACACTCGACAACACGCGTGAGTCAAGGGCGGATAAGTTAAACTCGCACAAGCACGAGTTCAATCCTTGCTAAAGCAGTTTAACCAAGCAGTCAAGTTTGCTGAAAATCTGATTCAAAGAAGCTCCAGCTCAGATGTAATGCACAGCAAGAATGATCTAGAACAACGATTTGATCACCTCAACAACACGCCGATCCCGAAACTTCCGGTGAATTCATTTGTGAAGTTTTTCCCTGCAGAAGGGGAAAATTTGACCCTCGGTTGCTTAACAACAAGTGAACCAGTGGTGAGAGTGAATAAAGATTTCCAAGCCGGTGTTGAAACAGAATTTGAGGTCAATCCAGGAATACATGAGCTACAAGTGTGTGAAATGAAAGTGGTCGTGGAACCCGCTGATAAAGCAGGAAGTTTGATAACTTGTGAAAAAGATGGAATTTTGCTGGCGAAGTTAACACCTGAATTTCCTGGTACCTTACAAATCTCAGTACAGATTAATGGTGAGACTGCAGCCAGTCCTTACACTGTCCATGTGAAACAACGGCTTATTCACCTTGTGAAAGAGTTGAGATTGAAAGAAGAAACGTTTCAAAGCCCACACGGGATTGCTGTGAACAGAAAAGGTCTAATCGCTGTTGCTGACCAAGAAAAACACCGTATCCTGATAATTGACATGGAAGGAAACTGTGTAAGAAAAGTAGGCTGTTATGGAAACAAAGTTGGACAGCTCAACCGTCCAACTGACGTCACATATCTAAATGATGATAACATTCTTGTAGCGGATCAATTAAATCATCGCATTCAACAATTTAACATTCAAACAGGGAACTCTGTGAAAAGCTTTGGAAAGAAAGGGACCAGGGATGGGGAGTTTCAGAACCCTGTCAGTGTTTGTGTAGATGATGTAGGGCGTGTTGTTGTAGCTGATGGCTTGAACAGTACAGTCCAGGTTTTATCACAGGATGGTGAACCTTTGTTTAAACTTAAAGACAGTGGACCAGAAAAACTTGACCGTCCTGTTGCATGTATTTACCATCAGAACAAGTACATTGTCTCTGACTGGGGTAATGATTGCTTGAAAGTTTATAACAAGTCAGGGAAGTGTTTGTACAAGATAGAGAATCAAGGCAAGGGTGATGGACAGTTGTGTGGTCCATGGGGACTGTGTGTCCAGAAATGTGGCAATTATTACAACCTTATTGTATGCAATGCTGGCAATGGTCGTGTTGATCAGTTTACACTGGAGGGGTGTTTCACTGGAAAAACTGTTCAAAAGTTACAGAGACCTGCAGCAATAACTGCAACATCAGATGGACATATTTTTGTTTCAGACTGTAAAGCCAATAAGATTCACATCCTGAAATAAGCAACAAATTGTAATAGAGATCTCAGTATGATACAATATAAAAATAAATGGCCGCTGAACACAATCGGTCAGTGGGACTTTCAATGACAATGTCGGACAAATGTTTCTTAGAGGGAGAAGTGTGACAACACAATTTCAGTGAAGCAATTGCAAAGCATAAGAGGACAAAGTTTACCAAAGTTAGAGGATAGTGAGTACACTATGAGTTATAAGGCGGAAAATAAGTGACATTTTGAAGACAATTTCATAAGGCTTGATACATAATGTAGTTGTGTAAGTTTGTTTCTGATATATAAGGTGAAAGAAACGCTCTTTCTACTATTTTTAGAGAGAGTGTCACTGACAATTTTGTTGCAGTTTGGAAATCCAAAAGACAATTCACTCGTCAATAGCAAATGAGGCAAAATTTAAAAAAAAGAAAGAAAAACACAGCTTTGGCACTCATTACATGTAATTCACTTTGTTTTTGGTCAAAGCGCGTGGCCAAAATAGTTTCATAATTACGCAAAATTTTCTCAGTTTATATTGTAGACTAGTTAGGTCTTTTAGGAGTGTCTCCAAGAAACCCACATACACAAAATCACAAGGCTACGCAAAATCTGACTTAGGAAATTTTTCGTAAAAGTCAAGATCGTAATAGGCAGTTATACTTTTTCCGACTTCTGGCATCATGACCCACCTCCCCTCTTTTTGATTTCTATCGATATGGAAGAAAGTAGTACTTTGGTACGTCACTAGTTTGATTACTATTTTTTGTGCCTCATATAGTACACAATAAAAATTTATTTTACTTCCTTCACCTTGCTTCACTGGTGATCTAACAGAACTTTTTCATATCGCTGGATCAGAAAGGAATATTTTTATTTTAGCTGTTTTGAAAAATGGAATTATCGTCCAGACGTGCTGCCCATTTATCGTAAAACCTATATTCACATCAGAGCTGCCCGTGTGGATCCACATCCCTTGAACCGCTAGCTTGCGAGGAAGCTCTCCATTCGAGTGGCGAGGGAAGCGAGCCGCGAGAGAACGCGCGAGGAGGGCTTGATTGCAGGCTATTGTACCGCTTGTAAAGTCATCAGATTAAACGGTCATTAACAAGTTGACCAAGCTGTGCAAGAAAAGTTCAGAGATAACGAAAACGACTGGAATGAACAAGAAAGCCAAACCCTTTTCAAATTTTTTAGAAAGGACCCAAACGCCTACTTCCTAAAATTCGAAGCTCTTGTAACTTCTTGATTTTTTTACTTCTTTTATTTATACTTACTACCATATATTCACGTAACTAACTTGGTTTTCAATTTATGTTCGCGAAATAATTGAATCAAATTAATACTAAAGATTACACACTGCTGGCTGACATTTGAGAGAAAAGAACTGGAGTTCCCAATACACTAGTTTCCGGTTCATTGTATGGACTAAAATACTCGTCACAAATCGTTGAAACAGGAGCCACTTGTCTTGAATTTTCTCCAGATTTCTTACATTCACTCTTCACACCTTTGTTCTCACTCAAATGTGCCCCTCTCCTTCCCCAATGTTGAGCCGAGCGTATTTTGGAGCACTAAAATGACTGCAAACCCAAATCAACATTGGGGAGGGGAAAATCACACAAGTGTTTCAAGATTTGTGACGAGGATTGTACATTAGTGAGTCCTCGAGAACCGGACAACAGCGGTGAAACTCCGGCCGGCGTACACAATCTGTGCAAACGTTTAGAAGGATGGTTTGAATGGTAGGGCTTGAATGCAAACTGATGGGCTGTAAATCATTTTGGACAAACTTGTTTTCAGATTCGAGGGGGTTATGACTGAAGACGCATCAGGTTCGTTTCTATTTGAATCTGAAGACGAGAATTGCTGTTCATCCGAGCAAATTGGCGATGATGAGGAAGAGAGAAGCGAATGATTAGAAAAAGAAAACAATGATACCGAGTTCATTTCCTGCCTGCTGGGAGAGCAACCTGGGGAAGAAAATAGGTCAGGCGTTCCGCTTGACTGTTTTGAAAACCAAGAACGGGATTTGCCTTCCAAGAGTCTTGGAGAAGAATATAAACCTGGCGTGTAAGGACAAACTCCTTTCGCAAGAGACAGAGATTGTGAAAAAAACTCAGAAGAAGTGTGCATCATCTCAAAACTTAATGATTTAACATGTCATCTGCCAACGAATAACTGTTTCCTTGATCATGACAAGCAGCTTCTTAGCTTTCGGCTCGGTGGATCCCCGCTTCATTCTCATTCTGATCATGTGACCATTTGTTTGGCTCTTCGTGCTTCAGGGACGGGGTACAAACGACTTCCTCTTCAAGTAACTCTTCGGTTGATTCTAAGCCACACACAACCTTCCCTTGCTTTATTATTTCTTCCTGACAATGAGTCGGCTTATATATTGTTCTTCATAAAACGTTAGTTTGTAAATTAACAGGGGCACCCAACGACAATTTTCGGAAAAATACCTGTTCGGTAGACGATTTGAGATCTAGAATTTTCGGAACATTTGTTGTAAAATTTCTTGCTTGCCTGCCTCTCCTAGGATTTTCGAACATCTAAAAAATGGTATAATTGCCCATGTTTAACGGATTTTTACCCTAAAAAGGTCACCTAGAATTTTCGGGAGCCTTTTTTCTGGCTGAAATTTTCGAAAAGTTAAGTTTTGATCCCTATAATTTTCGGATCACTAGACCTTCAGCTAAGAAATCGGAACAGATGAAAAATTTTTAGGGGATAAAATATGCCTATATCTACCGTTTAAATACCAAAATACCTTCGTCAATTCTATGTTTAAGTGGTTTTGAACTATATTCTCGTTGGGTGCCCCCGAATTAACAGAAGAATGCCTCTTTTGCTTACTTCTTGTTACAACTTTTTTAGGAATGGACTTTTCAGAGTGCTCTTTGAAAATATTTTCACAGTTTCTAAGCAAATTAGAATCCGATAGATCAATGTCACTACTGTTTTATTCACCATTGAATCGGTTTTACCGAAACATCGTTGCCTTACAGAATCCTGTTGCGTGCAAAATTAAAGCCATCACCGTCAGTTAAGTTCAAAACGTTATCAGAGTGTTCAGTGTTGTTTCTTTTCGCAAAGTCTTTAATATTGTGCTCGTTACTAGCAGCCAATGCTTTAGACACCTCTACCTTTTGATTAAGGTCAAATGCATCAGCGGACCTCATAACATCAGCAGGTGCCAACGATGTTTTCTGCAATGTAGTTTCGCAATCGAGCTCCATATCAGCCAAGAAAGCGTCGAGATCTTCAGAAGAAGGGAAATCAGTAAATTCTGTGTAATCCTCTTGAATAAATCCATAAACGACATCACTGAAACTAACAGTCTGTGACGTAACTATCTCATCGGGCGTCTTCTCTTCTGACGTCACGCATGATTTAGGTCTGGTTGACATTTTAGAATTTATGATTGGCTGAGATCGTCCTTTCGTTTTATTTAAAGCATCCAGCTTCAAATCGGCTAGAAATGCACTGAGATCCTCTGACGAAGGGAAGTTATCGTACTCTGTCCATTCACAAGAAGCTTGCTCTTCTTTGCAGATGTCAAGTTTCTCGGAATGTAGTTCCTTTGTTTGAGAAGTTAGCTGTGTAAGGCGAGGCGAATTTGAGTAATGGCTGCTGGTGTCTTCCTCCTGAGATGAAACTTGATCGCTTCCATCTAAAATATAAAAAGAAAACACCTATGAACACATTATGGGGAAACCAAACTAAATTTTACATATACTAACATACGATTTTTATCAACACCTAAGTACCTGCACTAAAGATTTTTATTAGAAAGCGAATCTGTGTTAAAATCAAATACAAAGTCGTAAGTCGCAAGGCTCTATTCTTCCTTCTTAATACTGGTATTATTTCTTGGGCGAAGGTACCTGAGTCAAAAAAGAGAATATCCACGGAAAAACAAAATCGGAGCACATGACCCTTTCTTCAACTCTCGTAGAATTGGTGACATAAATCCCAACCAACCCGGAGACCACTAGCAATATAAAAGACCTCTTAATAAGAAAGCTTGCATTTATAAATTTGATTCAAAAAACAGTACACTACCAATATATTAAAATATGTCCACAGTTCACAGCTGATACAGGCAAATATTAAGTTAAAGTTCTGATGAGGAATTCGTGACCCTGTCAGACTGCATCACAAAAAAACAATGATTATTCAGTTAAACGATGCGGATCCAAAATCTAAGAGTTTTCCATTTGATACCAAAACTTGCCGTTCATTCTCACACTATCTTTCACTCACAAAACAAAAAATCAAAAGAATGATTGGAAATTGTGTCAACCTCTGCTCCACAATCAGAGGGTAAGTTTGGTTGGCTACCTGAAATATCAAAATGTCTTTAGGGACTGTGCAATAATTATCTGGAGGGGGGGGTTCTAAGATTAATAGGGGGGGCCTGAACTTAAACCAAAGCGCAGGGTAGGGGGGGTAAGAGGTAATTTCTTAAACATTTGTAGGGGGGGTTAGAAGTTAAACTGAGAGGTCTGATCTCAATCCATGGACTCAAGATAATGTATATTACATGTAAGCTAATCAAAATCAATTTTTGGAATCTTTTAAGAAATATTAATATTAACAGCTTCAAAACCTTGTACTAAAAATGAACAGTTTATCTCAACAATATTAAACATATATTCAAGAACTTGAGTTAAATCCCGAGTTGGTTTTGAACAAGCACTTCCGCTTCCCCAACGAAGCATTTACAGGAAAGCAAGTCCCTCATGACTCGGCGCAGAACGAGGCAGAACGCACTAATGCTGCAATTGGAGAAGCTCTTACGACAGGAAGTCCGGTCGCCCCACCCAATGACCCTTTTCATGGGCTTCCTACTGCAGAATTGGAAAGAATGTGCTTGAAAGACATAGAACAACACTGCATTGCCTGGGAGGAAGCAAATACTTGGTCAATGGCCAACCAAATTGCACAGCGCATTCATGACGAATCGGGTCCTGGAAAGAATGACTTCCTGATCTCCCTTGCCAGCTACCATCCGGAAAGTCACATCCTGCTTCATCTCTCGAAGTACCTTCTTAAATGGAGGAAGGCTTCTCCACAGCAACGACACAAAATATGCGGGAACGGAGTTTTTTCAAAGCTTCAAAAGATGAAAGATGCCCATGTGAAGCAAGGACAATACTACCTTGAGTACTTGAAGTTTTCATGTGACCCAACCTGCGATGAATGCGAGGAAGAAGGTTGGACAGGTGGCATTCCCATTACACGATCTCCATTGCCAGCCCTTGATCCGTCCTCGCCAGGAAAGTATCTCCCAGTTGATGAACCTCGTTTGGCTCCAAGCGAGGTTGACAGTATCCTTCCTAGTGTACAAGTGAAGAAGATGTTTGTTGAAAAGAAAGTGACCTCTTCTGATAACCAGGCCATACGGCAAGCATGCTTAAAGCTTAACATCGACGAAAGTTCTTGCAGAAGATATCTTCAGCACCTTGAATTCTTGGCTCTAAAAGCAGACAAAAGAAATCTGGAAAGAAACACCATTCCAGAAGATATTTGTTGGGAGAGCAGAGACGATGTTGAAAGACTGACTAACAAGCAACTTCGGCTCTATCTAAGGCAAGAAGGTCTAATGGTATCTGGAAACAAGGCACAATTAGTTGAGCGAATACTTAAGCATGCAGATGGTTCTGTAGCAAGAACATTTGATGAAGACATCGAAGATGATGATGAAAACATGCCCTCCAGTTCTCATGATGATACCTCAAGTGATTCTGAGGAGGAGTCAACCGAGTATGAAGGTGGTTCATCAGGCGACGATTATGTGGAGCGCAGCTTCCAAGTTTTATTTATTGATGATGCAGACATACCAGAAGTAGTGTAAAGGTAAAGAGGGATGTAGGGAGGATCGGAGGTTGGGGAGGGGGGGTTGAAAGTAATCTCCCCTCTAGACGGGGGTGGACAAGAAGTTATTTTAACTTTAATTCAGGGGGGGTGCAACTTTATTTTAAGGCCTACTTTGCTAATTTTAGAACCCCCCCTCCAGATAATTATTGCACAGTCCCTTATTGTAACACACACGGAATGAGATAGAGAATAATACTAATCCGAATTCTTTAAAGGCTCAAGCTCAGTTACAACATGGACTTTTGGACTTGAACAGAACCATTTGTATTATGAACCCAAAGTGAAAGAATATTTCCTCTGTAACACAAATGTATCCGTCAGTGTGCGCAGTTTCTTTGTTGTTGTCAAAACAATTTCAGACAAGTCACGCTTAGAGACCTTTAAAGCTTCTTTGAAACTTCCGCTTTTAAACTAAGGTCAGAGGGTGGAAAGATTTAAATTTGGTTGGCTGCCTAGCTGTCTGCAATGAAATGCAAATTGTTTTTGTAACACTAGTAGCGCTTTATATGCTCCAAGTTTCCCGGAATCACTCTAAACAAGAATAGGGTGTGTTCTGTCGCTGTAAAAGGAAACTCGAACGATGGAGTCTTTGTTAAAGAATCTCAAAGAACACGTTACTTGCTCAATCTGTCTGGATACTTTCACCGATCCCAAGACAATAACTTGCCTGCATACATTCTGCTTTGAGTGTATAAAGAAACACGCACTGATCAGCCAACGGAATGGAAAGTTTCGCTGCCCCGAGTGTCAAGCTGAAGTTGATCTTCCAGAAGCAAACCGTTTTGACAAATTACCGACCAGTTTTCATCATAATAGTCTACTCAGTGTTCTCGCCATACGACAAAGCGGAAAAGGAAATGATGTCAGTTGTGGCGTGTGCAAGAAAATGAGCGCAGAGATAAGTTACTGTTTCGAATGCGCTAAATTCATGTGCAGTGATTGTGTAAACGCACATCAACTGTTTAGTCATTTTACAGAAGGACACAAGGTGACGCCAGTCAAGCAGTTTCAGCCCCAAGACTATGAAGCGCTAATGAGGAGGCAGTCATTTTGTTCGCAGCAGTATCACGAGCGAGAAGTAACGAGGTTTTTCTGCCTTAAATGCCAAATCTGTGTTTGCCAAATATGCATTGCTACGGATCATAAACAAGACTATGAAGCGCTAATGAGGAGGCAGTCATTTTGTTCGCAGCAGTATCACGAGCGAGAAGTAACGAGGTTTTTCTGCCTTAAATGCCAAATCTGTGTTTGCCAAATATGCATTGCTACGGATCATAAGGCACATGACGTGGAACCATTAGAGAAAGCAGCCGACGACGAGAAAGCCAAAATCCTGACAAGAACCGAGGTATTGAAAACAAAAATAAAGTTTTTTGGCGATACGATTCGTGAATATGAACAAACAGTACTTGAACTGGAGACAAATCTCACTAACGCTAAACGTGAAGTTTCCAAAGCTGCCGAACAAATGATCGCCAAGATTCGAGAAGACGAGCGGCGAATTATTACCGCCCTCGAGAACACCCGCGCGTCAAGAGCAGATAAGTTAGACTCTGCAAAGGCACAAGTGCAATCCTTGCTGAAGCAAATCAACCAAGCAATCGAGTTTGCTGAAAATCTCATTCAAAGAAGCTCCAGCTCAGATGTAATGCAAAGCAAGAATTATCTAGAACAACGATTTAATGATCTTGAAAACACGCCGATCCCAGAACTTCCGGTCAATTCATTCCTGAAGTTTTATCAAACAAAAGAAGAAAAGAATTTAACTCTTGGTTACATAGCAACAAGTGAACCAGTAGTAGGACTGACGAAAGATTTCCAAGCTGGTATGGAATCACAGTTTGAAGTTCATCCACAAATACTTGGAGAAGAGGTGTATGACATTAAAGTGCTTGTGGAACCCGCTGAAAAAATAGGAAGTTTGACAACTTGCGAAAATCAAGATGGAGATTACACCGTGAAGTTTACACCTAAAGTTCCAGGAACTTTCAATATCACAATAAAGGTAAATGGCAAGGAGTTTGCAAGAAGTCCCTATAATGTCCAAGTAAAACAACGACTTATTCAAGTTGTGGGAGAGATGGAAATAAAAGGAGAAACTCTTAAAACGCCAAGTGGAATTGCCGTGAGCAGCAAAGGGCAAATCGCTGTTGTTGACAATGAAAAACACTGTCTCCTGATAACTGATAAGGACGGAAACTGTGTAAGAAAAGTGGGTTGTCATGGAAACAATGCTGGACAGCTTAACCATCCACTTGACGTCACATATCTAAACGATGATAACATTCTTCTAGCGGATCAATTAAATCATCGCATTCAACAATTTAATGTTCGAACAGGGAACTATGTAAAAAGCTTTGGAAAGAAAGGGACAAAAGATGGTGAGTTTCAGAACCCTGCCAGTGTTTGTGTGGATGAAGAAGGCCGTGTTATAGTTGCTGATTTTCATAACAATAGAATACAAGTTTTATCACAGGATGGTGAACCTTTAATTCAAATTGGAAACAGTGGACCAGAAAAACTATACACACCCATGTCGTGTATTTACCATGAGAACAAGTTCATTGTTTCTGACTGGGGTAATTATTGCTTGAAAGTGTTTGATAATACTGGAAAGTTTTTGTACAAGATAGGAGAACAAGGGGAGGCTGATGGACTGTTTCATGGGCCTTATGGACTGTGTGTCCAGAAATGTGGCGATCACCATAATCTTCTTATTTGTAATAGAGCCAATGGCCGGGTTGATCAGTTTACAGTGGAGGGCTGTTTCACTGGAAAAACTGTTGTTAAGTTACAAGACACTACAAGAATAACTACAACACCCGATGGACTTGTTTTAGTTACAGACTATGAGACCAAAAAAATTCACATTCTAAAATAATTAAAAAGCAACAGACTGGATAATCAAACAAATATACATCCTGAAAAAAGTAAAACGATAACTTGGTATGGTAAAAGGAATAAGTAAATAATAGCTGAATGCTTTTAACAAGGAATTGACCTAAGGCAATTCCGACAATATATTATCAGCACTGAAGTAACAAAAATGCTTTATAAGGACAGACTTGTCTGACAAAGTCAGATGGCTCGATGAGGTTTCAAAAGTTAATAAGTCTGAGCAGAAATTACGTTTCCATTAACAAACATTTGGAAAAATTACAAGCCTGCGAGCAAATATCCCGCCCCCGTACCCCTCGGGGTCCTAGGAGAGCTTGCTGGCAGGCTAAAAAATTACCACCACACCACAGTTGTGTGGTCCATGGGGACTGTGTGTCCAGAAATGTGGCAATCATTACAACCTTATTGACTGTATGCAATACTGGCAATGGTCTTGTTGATCAGTTAAGTCACAGAAAGAGACCTGCAGCAATAATTGCGACATGATAGAATCTAATTAACAACTATTCCTATCGAGCCCGAATGGGCTCTGAGTCAATAGCCCATGAGGCCGAAGGCCGAATTAGCTATTGACTCAGGGGTCATGAGGGCGAGAGGAATAATTGTTTTAGTAAAATCCAACTAGTTGGTCAAAAATATCGAGAATAAAAAAATGTTAGCTGCTTAAAGCTAGAATTCAATCCTTTATTGTCGCCAAAAAGCCGGCGCTTTTCGCTACTAGTAGGCTATAACATATTGCCTAGTAGTAGCTTAACCAATCAGAACGCAGCATTGATAATAGACCACTAGTTGGATTTTACTAAAGGTGAATAGCCCCTGAACACAATCGGTCAGCAAGAGTATTAATGACAATGCCGGACAAATGTTTCTGTAGAGAGACAGCTGTGTGACAACACAATATTTCAGTGAAGCAATTGCAAAGGATAAGATATTAAAGTTGACCAAAGTTAGAGAAAAATGCGGAGTAAACTACGAGTCATAACACAGTAAATAATTCTCTTTCTGATAGTATTTTCACAAGGCCTGATATATTAAGGAGTTATGCAAGTTTGTAGATGATATAATAGATGAAAGAAGCTTTCTTGCTACTATTTTTAAAAGGACGATGTCACTAATAATTTTGTAACAGTTATCAAAAAGATCATTCCCCCGTCAAAGGCAATTTAAAGTATGGTTGCAATATTAAAAAAGGAAAGAAAAAAATTGGCACTGATTATTTCCCTTTTGTTTTTAGACAAAGCAAAAGTGAGCCAAAATTGCTTCATAACTACGCAAAATTTTCTGAGTTCATATGATTAGTAAGGTCTCTTAGGAGGGTCTCCAAGAAACGGACACACACAATAATCACAAGACTTTGTGCAGCCTCATATAATACACAATAATAACGAGTTATACTTGCTTCACCTTTGCTTACTGCTGTTCTTTTCATATCAATGGATCAGAAAGAAATATTTTTATTTTCGCTGTTTATGATTGAAATATGGAATAATCCTCCAGACATGCTGCCCCTTTATTGTTAATCTGTTAACCTATTCACATCAAAGCTGCCAGTGTGGATCCACATTACTTGAGCCTCTAGCCCGCAAGCAAGCTCTCCATTTCGAGTGGCGAGCGAAGCGAGCCGCGAGAGAACGCGCGAGCGAGCGGCGGAGCCGTGAAGGAGTACCCTCCTTTCTTTCTCCACCCCTCGCACTCGCGTCTCTTTTAGCGTGCGGCTCTCGCGTGACTTCTCGCGACTCCTCCAAAAGGAGAGCTTGATCGCAGGTTATTGTACCACTTGTAAAGTCATCAGATTAAACCGTCATTAACGAGCTTTACACCTACCCTGTGCAAGGGAAAGAGTTAATAAAAACGACTCGAATGAACACGAAGGCCAAACCCTTTTTCAAATTTTCAGAAAGTGCCCAAACGCCCACTTGTTAAAATTCGAAGCCCCTGAAAGTGAATTCTTGATTTACAAGATTACAAGATTTATTCTTTTTACTTCTTTGAATTATATTTACTACCATATTCACCTGGTAACTAACTTCTGGTTTTCAATTTATGTTCGCCAAATAATTGAATCAAATTAATAATATAGCTCACAAACTGCTGGTTGACATTTTAGAGAAAAGAACTGGTGTTCCTAATGCACTAATTTCCGGCTCATTGTATGGACTAGGTCCTCGAGAGTCGGATAACAACGGTGAAACTCCGGCCGGCGTACACATTCTGTAAACGTTTAGAAGTGCGGTTTGCATAGCGGGGTGTTGAATGAAAACTAATAGCCTGTTCATCATTCTGCACAAACCTGTTTTCAGATTTGCTCTGGTTTATGACTGAAGGCGCATCAGGTTCGTTTCTATTTGAATCTGAAGACGAGGCTGGCTGCTCAACCAAGCGAAGCGGCGACGATGAGAAAGAGAGAAGCGAATGATTAGACAGGAAAACAATGACACCGAGTTCACTTCCTGCTTGCTGGGAGAACAATTTGGGGAAGAAAATAGGTCAAGTGTTCCGCTAAAGTGTTTTGAACACCAAGAAAGGGATTCACCGTTCAAGAGTCTTGGAGAAGAATACAAACATGGTGTGTCAGGACAACCACCCTTCGCTCGAGACAGAGATTGTGAAAAACAAGTCAGGGGACGTATGCATCATCTCAAAAAATAAGTTAAAGGGACTGGTTCACGATAATGCGCATGTGTGAGTTCTGACATTTGCTGATTGTTTTTTAACCAATCGGAAGCGAGTTAGATTTACAAAATTCAAATCAATTGTTCGCGACGCGAGAGTATTTCCGGGCATTTGGTTTGATTTTATTTATCCCCATAATTCAAGTTTATTCTTTTCTACTCCTCAGATATATGTTGCAGCCGATAAGAATAAGATTTACAGCCCTGTCCTGCTTTCAAACAAACATTTACCAACGTGTATTTTTACGAGGTCGTACCCACGCTAACAATAGAGTCACCGATCGGCAAACAAAATCTGTAAACAAACATCTTATTACTGTTCTCTCAGTTCGCCTTATATAAACCCAGAAATACCTACAAATAGCGCCCGACCGGTGACAAAAAAAAAAAAAAAANTACGATCGTAAAGCAAAGATACAAGGAACATTTCAAGTGTACCAGATCGGTGAAGATCGAGCGGCCTGTTGCGGTATAACTACAGGTCGGAGTCAAAAATCAAATCAAAGTTGAACGAACTCATGCCTTTAACCACTTTCCAAGTGTCGTGTATTCTTTTCGTATGCCACACACTACTCCTAGAACCATACCAGATCGATAGGCTAAGCTTCTCTATCTCCAGAGACTCTTGAGAACGTCCTGTTGCCGGACGGCCACGATGCTCCTCTGAACCTCCATGATCAAAACATTATTTTTTGCGTCCTCTTAAAACGTAACCAGTCAAACGACACAACCACAGGTTAATCACGACTACCGAAGTATAACTAGACCAGCCAAAGCGACGGATGTCCGAATAAAACGAAGGATTTTCAATGATTGTACCGGTAATGGCGATTTCGAATTTAGTGTTGACCCGACAAATTTATTCTGAAGAGACAAACGACGCGCATGCGCAGTATCGTGAACCAGTCCCTTAAACATGTCATCTGCCAACGAATAACTGTTTCGTTGACAAGAAGCAGCTTTTTGACCTTCGGTTTGTTGGATCTCCGCTTCATTCTTATCCTGATCATGTGACCATTTGTTTAGCTCTTCGCACCCCAGGGACGTGGTGCAATTAACGACTTCCTCTTCAAGTAACTCTTTCATTGATTCTAAGCGGCACACAACCTTCACTTGCTTCATTATTTCTTCTCCACAATGAGTGGGCTTCCGTTGATTGTTCTTCGTGAAACTGCTGAAAAAACCAACAAAAAATTGGCTCCATTGGTTTTTTCCTCTCATGTTTTTTCACGAATAGACTTTTCAGAGAGCTCAGTGAAAACGGTGTTGCAGTTTCTAAGAAATTGAGAATCTGATAATTCAATGTCAAGTACCGGCATTAGATTCACGTTTGAATCGCTCTTACGGACCCACTGTTGTCTTACAGAATCCTTTTGCGTGAAAAAGCAGTCACCGATAATGAAGTCCAGAACGTTATCAGAAATTTCAGTGTTGTTTCTTTTCGTATTCTCTTTAATATCGTGTTTGTTACTGGCTAATGTTCTAGACACCTCTACCTTTAGTTGAAGTTCAAACGGGTCAGCGGACCTCATAGCATCAGCAGACGCCGACGGTGTTTTCTGCCCTATATTTCCACAATCGAGCTCCATATCAGCTAAGAAGGCGTCTAGATCTTCAGAAGAAGGAAAATCAGTAAATTCTGTGTAATCCTCTTTAACAAATCCATGAACGACATCACTGAAACTAACACTCTGTGACGTAACCATCTCACCGGGTGTCTTCTCTTCTGACGTCACGCATGATTTTTGGAATTTATGATTGGCTGAAATTGTTCTTTCGTCATATTATTTAGAGCATCCAGTTCCAAATCAGCTAGAAATGCACTGAGATCCACTGACGAAGGAAAGTCATCGTACTCTGTCCATTCAATGCCTTCTTGTGGCACAAGAAGGTTGCTCTTCTTTGTAGATATCAAGTTTTTTCAGAATTCAGTCCCCTTGTTTGAGAAGTTAGCTGTGTAAAGCGAGGCGAGTTTGAGTTATTACTGCTGGTGTCTTATTCCTGAGATAAAACTTGATCACTTTGATCTAAATTAGAAAAAAGAAAACACATTTGACCAATTTGGCCGCAACCAAACCAGATTAATATACTAACATTGGATTTTTATAGACACCCAAGTATTTATAACAAGGGTCGATTCTGATTAGAAAGCAAATCTGTGTTAACATCAAATTCAAAGTCGTAGGTCGCCAGGCTCTATTCTTCCTTCTTAATACTGGTATTATTTCTTCGGTGAAGGTACCTGAGTCACCAAAAAAAAAAATAAGCACGGAAAAACAAAATCAGAGTACTTGACTTTCTTCAACTTTCGTCGAATTGGTGACAATCCCAACGAAATGGGGCAGCGGCCACTAACAATATAAGAGACCGTTTAATAAAGAAGCTTGCATTTATTAATTGACAAAAAAACAAAAAAACAATACACTACCGTTGTATTAAATTACATCGTCAGTTCACAACTGATACAGGCAACTATCAAGTTTGACCTCAAAAGTTAAAGTTCTGATGAGGAATTCGTGATCCTGCGAGACTGCATCACTGAAAAAAACAATGATTATTCAGTTAAACGATGCGGATCCAAAATCCAAGAGTTTTCCATTTCATACCAAACCTTGCCGTTATCCTCACACTATCTTTCATTCAGAAAACAAAAATTCAAAAGAATGATTGGAAATTGTGTCAACCTCTGCCCCACAATCAGAGAGTAAGTTTAATTGGCTACCTGAAATATAGTGTTTTCAAAATGTCTTTATTGTAACACACACGGAACGAGATAAATAATAATACTAATCAGAATTCTTTAAACGCTCAAGCTCAGTAAAAAGATGGACTTTCGGACTTGAACAGAACCACTTGTACTATGAATCCAAAGTGAAAGAATATTTCCTCTGTTATACTACTACATGAGAAATTTCTGCAATTTGATTGGCTTAGAGCAGTGGTATTTCAGCTTAATTTAAAATACCTACATGTGAAAATTACAAACCTTTTGTAGGTAGTAGTATAAACAAATAATAGCATGATTTGTACGAGATATTCGGCATAAATACCACTTATGATATTTCAAAATTGTCTCAAATTTCACTCGCCTAACGGCTCGTGAAATTACGTATAACAATTTTGAAATATCACTCGTGGTATTTATGCAAATCATGCTATTACCTATACTAATACAAATGTACCCGTCAGCGTGCGCAGTTTCTTTGTTTTTGTCAAAATAATTTCAGACAAGTCACGCTTAAGACCTTTATAGCTTCTTTGAAACTTCCGCTTTTAGACTAAGGTCAGAAGGAGGAAAGATTTAAATTTGGTTGGCTGCCTAGCTGTCGGCAGGGAAATGCAAATTGTTTTTGTAATACTAGTAGTGCTTTATATGGTCCAAGTTTCCCGGAATCACACTGAACAAGAATAGGGTGTAAAAGGAAACTCGAACGATGGAGTCTTTGTTAAAGAATCTTAAAGAACATGTTACTTGTTCAATCTGTCTGGATACTTTCACCGATCCCAAGACAATAACCTGCCTGCATACATTCTGCTGTGAGTGTTTGAAAAAACATGCACTGATCAGCCAACGGAATGGAAAGTTTCGTTGCCCCGAGTGTCAAGCTGAAGTTGATCTTCCAGAAGCAAACCGTTTTGACAAATTACCGACCAGTTTTCATCATAATAGTCTGCTCAGTGTTCTCGCCATACGACAAAGCGGAAAAGGAAATGATACCAGTTGTGGCGTTTGCAAGAAAATGAGTGCGGAGATAAGTTACTGCTTCGAGTGCGCTAAATTCATGTGCAGTGACTGTGTAAACGCACATCAACTGTTTAGTCATTTTACAGAAGGACACAAGGTGACGCCAGTCAAACAGTTCCAGCCTCAAGACTATGAAGCACTAATGAGGAAGCAGTCATTTTGTTCGCAGCAGTATCACGAGCGAGAAGTAACGAGGTTTTTCTGCCTTAAATGCCAAATCTGTGTTTGCCAAATATGCATTGCTACGGATCATTAAGGCACATGACGTGGAACCATTGGAGAAAGTAGCCGACGGCGAGAAAGCCAACATCCTGACAAGAACCGAGGTATTGAAAACAAAAACAAAGGTTTATGGCGATACGATTCGCGAATATGAACAAACAGCACTTGAACTGGAGACAAATCTCACTAACGCTAAACGTGAAGTTTCCAAAGCTGCCGAACAAATGATCGCCAAGATTCGAGAAGACGAGCGGCGAATTATTACCGCCCTCGAGAACACCAGCACGTCAAGAGCAGATAAGTTAGACTCTGCAAAGGCACAAGTACAATCCTTGCTGAAGCAAATCAACCAAGCAATCGAGTTTGCTGAAAATCTGATTCGAAGAAGCTCCAGCTCGGATGTAATGCAAAGCAAGAATTGTCTAGAACAACGATTTAATCATCTTGAAAACACGCCGATCCCAGAAATTCCGGTCAATTCATTCCTGAAGTTTTATCAAACAAAAGAAGAAAAGAATCTAACCCTTGGTTACATAGCAACAAGTGAACCAGTAGTGGGATTGACAAAAGATTTCCAAGCTGGTGTTGAATCAGAGTTTGAAGTTTACCCACAAATACTTGGAGAAGAAGTGTTTGAAGTGAAAGTGCTTGTGGAACCCGCGGATAAAACAGGAAGTTTGACAACTTGTGAAAAACAAGATGGTGATTACACCGTGAAGTTTACACCTGAAGTTCCAGGAACTTTCAATATCATAATAAAGGTAAATGGCAAGGAGTTTGCAGGAAGTCCTTATATTGTCCAAGTAAAACAACGACTAATTCAAGTTGTTGGAGGGGTAGAAATAAAGGGAGAAACTCTTGTAAAGCTAATCGGAATTGCCGTAAACGGCAAAGGACAAATCGCTATTGCTGATTTTGGTAAAAACTGTCTCCTGATAACTGACAAGGAAGGAAGCTGTGTAAGAAAGGTGGGTTGTCGTGGAAACAATGTTGGACAGCTCAACCGTCCAACAGACGTCACATATCTAAATGATGATAACATTCTTGTAGCGGATCAATTAAATCATCGCATTCAACAATTTAACGTTCAAACAGGGAACCCTGTGAAACATTTTGGAAATAAAGGGACAAGAGATGGTGATTTTCAGAACCCTGTCAGTGTTTGTGTGGATGAAGAAGGCCGTGTTATAGTTGCTGATTTTCATAACAGAATGCAAGTTTTATCACAGGATGGTGAACCTTTGTTTCAATTTGGAAACAGAGGACCAGAAAAACTAAACAAACCCAGGTCGTGTATTTACCATGAGAACAAGTTCATTGTTTCTGACTGGGGTGATGATTGCTTGAAAGTGTTTGATAATACTGGGAAGTTTTTGAACAAGATCGGCGAAGAAGGCCAGGGTGATGGACAGTTGCTAGGGCCTAACGGACTGTGTGTCCAGAAATGTGGCGATCACCATAATCTTCTTATTTGTAATAGAGCCAATGGCCGTGTTGATCAGTTTACAGTGGACGGCTGTTTCACAGGAAAAACTGTTGTTAAGTTACAAGCCCCTACAAGAATAACTACAACACCGGATGGACTTATTTTAGTTACAGACTATGAGACCAAAAAAATTCACATTCTAAAATAATTAAAAAGCAACAGACTGGATAATCAAACAAATAAACATCCTGAAATAAGCACCAAAAAAATAAAACGATAACTCGGTATGGTAAAAGGAGTAAGTAAATAACAGCTGAATGCTTTCAACAAGGAATTGACTTAAGGCAATTCCGACAATATATTATCAGCACTGAAGTAACAAAAATGCTTTATAAGGACAGACTTGTGTGACAAAGTCAGATGGCTCAAGGGGGTTTCAAAAGTTAATACCTCCTAAGTTTGAGCAGAAACTACATTGCCATTAACAAACATTTGGAAAAATTACAAGCCTGCGAGCAAATCTCCCACCTCCATACCCCTGAGAGCCCTAGGAGAGCTTGCTAGCAGGCTAAAAAAATTACCACCACACCACAGTTGTGTGGTCCATGGGGACTGTGTGTCCAGAAATGTGGCAATTATTACAACCTTATTGTATGCAATGCTGGCAAAGGTCGTATTGTTCAGTGTTTTACGGGAAAAAAAACTGTTAATAAGTCACAGAGACCTGCATTGCAAAATCAGATGGACATACTTTTGTTTCAGACTGTAAAGCCACTAAGATTCACAACCTGAAATAAGCAACAAAACAGAGATCACAGTATGACAGAATTCAAAAGTAAATAGCCAAATGTTTCTGTAGAGAGAGAGTTGTGTGACAACACAATATTTCAGTCAAGGTGGCTGAACACAGTTTTGCGGGTGGTCAGCGGTAACTCTCGTGGCGGCGCTGTTTTAAATTAGACAAATAAACATGGCAACAAAAAAAGCAATGGAACACAGAAGACGATTTCTCAAAATCTACTCATTAAAATTTTGTGACATTTGGCAGAAATTTTACTTTTATTGTATTTTAAATAATGAGAACTTTAAAATGGAAGTTGAACAGACGAATTTTGTGACACATTTAATAATTACAGTACAATAATCAATAAATTTTATAATTATTATATTATTGATTATGTAAAAACCCATCTGTAAAATTTGGTCTAATAAATTTCAAATGGTAATGATTAATAATTATTATAGTAAGCTGTGTGCAAGTTTATGGGTAAATCTAATGAGTGAATTTTATGTAAACTGAGCAAAAGTGAACTTTTAAGGCTGTATTCAATCGTTCATGTTGCCATGGAAACTATGAAACTGTCAAATTTTACCTGTCAATCAAAATCTTTCATCAGTATATTTTTCACTTGCCAAGTTTCAGCTTGTGAGCTGCAACCTTTCTCTTGCCATGAATTGGCAAATGCATATACTCACAAACTGCCAAAACTGTGTTCAGCCACCTTAAGCAATTGCAAAGGATAAGCTATTAAAGTTGACCAAAGTTAGAGAAAAATGTGGAGTAAACTACGAGTTATAACACAGTAAATAATTATCTTTGTGATAGTATTTTTACAAGGCCTGATATATTAAGTACTTATGCAAGTTTGTAGACAAGATTATTAGATGAAAGAAACTCTCTTGCTACTATTTTTAAAAGGACTGTGTCACTAATAATTTTGTAATAGTTAACAAATATCTAATAATTTTGTAATAAAATCAAATAATTATCTAATAATTTTGTAATAGTTGTCAGATAATTCAGTTGTCAAAGGCAAATGAAAGTATGGTTGCAATATTAAAAAAAAAAGAAAAAAATTGGCACTAATTATTTCACTTTTGTCTTAAGTCAAAGCAAACGTGAGCCAAGATTGTTTCATAAATATGCAAAATTTTCTGAATTCATATCATTATCATCAGTGTGCAATAAAATTTATCATTTCATCAAATGAAAATTTTTTTGAGTCTATTATAGCTGTGAGTTCTGACAAATATGCTGTCATCTTCTGGTCCTGATCAATGTACTACATAAAAATGTTTTTTCCTTCTGGACGGATTGAATGTGTTGTGGTTCAATTTTATGCTTGGTTTAAACTTTATTTCCTTTTGTTTCAAACCCGTTATCATACATTACCATACACAATAACAAAAGANTGCTTGGTTTAAACTTTATTTCCTTTTGTTTCAAACCCGTTATCATACATTACCATACACAATAACAAAAGAAAATAAAATTCAAACCAAGGATAAATTGAGCCACAAAAAATACGTACATGGATACCGGTATCATAAATCATTACACATTATACCTTTCTACAGGTTGACTCAGTTGCTCCAGCTTAAAGTTCCTTCTGTTAAACCCAGCTGTGCATTTTACAACCATTGTGAGGGAAGCCAGGGCTGTTGTTGTTGCTGGAGGAACAATGCAACCTGTAAAGATTCATTACCTTTAGAATTTTATAATGAGATCTGCATGTGCAGATCAATAATAAATATTGATATCAAAATATTACAGTCAAATCTCTCTCTTAGTAGACACCTCTTTAAGTCAGACACCTCCCTAAGATGGACACCTGGCGCTGGCCCCTGCCATTTTTCAGTCATTTTACTATAACTACAGTCGACTCCCGATAACTTGAACCTTCAAGGGAAATCGAAAAAAGTTCGAGTTATTGAGAGTTCGAGTTATCGCGAGTTTAACTGTCAGGTCATATAGAAGCTCTGCTAACCCTAAAAGCCAATAACGGTTTGCTGTCCAAAACATAAAACAATGGAAATGTAATGATAAAGAATGTTGCGTTATTTTTCTCTGCAACTGATGAGGTGACACCTTACCAGCAGCTGCTACAGTATGAAACTGTCCACAATAATGAGGTGTGTGTATTGAGCGGGTGTCCCTACAGCGGGGTCTTTCAGCAGGTACAGTCATCACAAAAAAAAACAAAGGAATGACTAGAGTTCTCCTAGGGGCTTTATTGTTTGGTTGTGTTGTTTCTTTTGGTGTATGTAATCTGTGCCTCGATACCTACAGAAGGAACCGTAAAACAGGGTTTGACTGCAGGTATTACAGAAGTTAAAAATCAAAACTTGAGTCTAGTCTACCCGTGACACCACACTCTGTGTGTTCTTCTCATACCTTTAAGATGTCAGATTTCAAAGATCAACTATTCACATGTGCAGGACTCCCAAGTGACAACATTGTGGAGTTTTCTTGTGGTAAGAAATTGTTTTGAAAACTTATCCTGATATTTTCTAGCCTGTGAACAGGCTCTCTGTTTGGGGAAAAAAATATCTAGTTCCCCGCTCGACCAAAGGCCTGTTCACAGGCTAGATATTTTCTTGTTAAACAAGGAACATTAGCGCTCGTTACTTCGCACCCTCTTATGTTCAAACTACTGTAATATTCCATTATTTATTTCAACATTTTCAGGTCATGTTATTCCCGCAGAGAATTTACTCTCAGTAGCATTGGACAAAGGACCTGCGGGAAAAGAGTTTGATTTTACCTTCCAGTCCAGAGATTCACCTGACTTGGTTAGATCAATCCCTCTTATGTCATCTTAGCTTGTGTTCATTTTTCCTTAAGACTTCATTAGTTCATTCAGGGTTGAAATGGCTCCAGCCGCAAGAATTTGTCAATTTTTAGCGAGGTAGAACAGAAAAGTTTTCCAGATTTTAACGGCGACATCCTCTCTCTCAGTATTTTGGCAACAATTTATTGTCGAACACATGGAGACTTTGTCCACTGTTGGTCGCCATTTTGTTTTCAAGTAAACCGGAAGTTCCTCGATCGATCAACTTTACTTCCGGTTACATCAAAGCGAGGTAAAAAGACAAAACAGTAGGTTAATTTTTCTCCTCTTTGATCAGCCGGGCGTAGTGGCGCACGCCTGTAATCCAGCTACTTGGAGGCTGGGGTCTCTGAACGGCTTGAGGGTGGGATTCCTGGGGGCGGTTGTACTATGTAGATCGGGTGTCCGCGCTAAGTTTGGCGTCAATATGGGGAACACGGAGGAATCTGAGTTCTCCAGGTTGGTTAAAGAGGAGCGAACCGGCCCAGGGTGGAAACACAGCAGGCAAAAGCTCCCGCGTCAAACAGTAGTGGGATAGCACCTGTGAATAGGCGATCGTTCACAGCCCGTTCAAGATAGTCGAACTCGACTCTGTCTTTTTTTCTTCTTCTTCTTCTTCTTCTTCTTCTTTAATTTTATCTTTTTTTGTACTATTTTCTCTACCAATTTACCCTTTTTTAAAAGCCAAAAGAAACAATTCTTATTTTGTACCTCTCATTTTTTTTTTCTCATCAAAAGCCAGAATAGTTTTACACTTTGAATTTAATTTATCCAGTTTCCGATATTTCCTCTCAAGTTAGAAACGTAGCCGATTTTTTTGTGTTCTTCGTTTTTTACAAGGTTAACAACCGTTACTTGTTTTCAATTCGAATATCGTATTCGTTTTTTGTTGATTTTCATGCATTTATTTTTTATTTTATTTATTATTTTCTTTCTTTTTCAGAAAGATGAGTTAGGCCGACTTCTTATCAACATGTTTGCCGTTGTTCCTGGTGGAGTTGTATGCTTCTTCTCGTCATACGATTATGAAGAACAAGTTTACACACATTGGCAAAGCACCGGCATCCTAGACAAAATGAATGCAAGAAAAAAGGTTCAATTATGAACAAATCACTGTTTTCTCTTTCCCTTCGTAAGCCTGACTCATCATTGTACTCAGACCTCTTCCCGCCCAACTCCGAATTTGCAAGGAATAGTACTGGGAACGAGATTAGTGCCGAGTATTTTATTGGGTGGTTTTCTCTTGATTGTCAGAGCGATTTATTTCGCCATTCAAACCCGAGCAAATTACGTAAAACAGTCAGATTTGCAGTTAAATATTTCCACCCATTGCGCATGCCCAGTGCGATAAATGCTTCTGCCAAGCAGAAGAGGGAGCGTAAAACTAAATATTTCCAGCAGAAGAATCTAAGAAAAACTAAAACCTTACGAAAGGTAAGACGTAGGGTTACCATAGAAGCTCTTATAAGATATTTTAACAGACTTTTAAAGGATGTGTTACTATTTTTTCGTCATAGGTATTTCGCGAACCAAGGAAAGCTAGCCAGCTTGATCAAGTTCTTTCATCATATGCTGCTTCCAGGTTCGCTGTAGACTC